AGTCCCTTTCAATTTGCTAAATTCTAGCATTTCATTTTTATTTGGAAAGAGAGGCACATAGCATTTAGCAAGAAAAAAAGAAAAAAGGAAGGGGCATAACCATGAGAGGAGGGGAGGAGTGATTCCACCAGTGCCTGCCAGCCTTTGGAGACCTCATTAACAGCCCTTTCAGAATGTACCACCTGTGCCCTTAGGGAAGGCTTGGGGTTTAATATGAGACAGTTTAAGGTTGTTCACATTCCTGGCAGAAGCAAAGAAAGATATCAGACCACAGGTGTTTCTTAGGCCACAGCTGCAGAAAAGGGAGAAGGGAGAGGAGGATTGCACCAGCTGAAGTTAACTTATGTCTCCAATCCTATAATTGCTAGATAAGCAGACAACTAGACAAACCACTGAAGTCTTTTTTATATCCAGTCCAGAATGTTTATTAAAATACTTTAATTTAAATTGTCCAGTTAACCTACTGAGGGCTAAAGAACTGCTATACGTGTCTTGAAATATACACAAACATGAGTGAGCTACTATTTTGTGCCTAGGGTTCAGCGGCAGCTAGTTAATTTTTCATTTCCATCTTACCTGCTCTCTGGAATGAGGTTCTTCCTGAGATCCAGATGGGGCCCACTTCTCTGTTATTTAGAAAAGCCATGAAGATCTGGTTCTTTACCCAGGCCTTGGGTAACGGAAGGGAGATCCCTCACTTCAACACGCTTCTCATCTTTTAAGTTTTGTTGATTTTATTGTAATTTATTTGAGTATTAGGGGCCTTCCAGAGTTGTTGAGCACCAGGTGGCATGCAAGTTTAACTGTTGATAATGAAGATGATTACCAAAATCACTAACACATCTTCTTTCTTTGGCTCTATATGGTTATTATACAATACATTAATCCAAATTAAATAAAATTATAGCTTATTGTGCTACGCAAATCCAGCTGGATTTGTGTAGCACAATAAGCTAAAATTGTCAGCCCTGAAGCCATCTTTAACTTGGAATCTTCAGGGCTGCCACAGCGGTGGATGGGCAAGCTGTGGGAACAGGAGGGGGGGGTGGAGACAGTTGGGACAGTGACCTGATTGGACCATATGATGCCCATGTGGATGCAAGGGAAGGAACTTTGACTTTACTTTGGGTGGGGAAAACCCAGGGGCTTCAGATTAGGGTTTTCCCAGATGTGCCAATATGACAGCTCTAATAAATTCAAGCTTTGAGGAAAATGCCTGCCTTGGAGTTTTGATTTCATTGGGGGTGTTACTTGGAACCCTGACACTAACCCAAATCTCCTTTTAAAAACTACCAAGCAGTTCCCTGCACTGCGGGTTTGCTGCCTGAGGTCCTGAGCCCCGGGCGCCTTCCCAGTCTACCGGGTAGTGCAAAGACTCAGGGAAGATGGAGGAGAAAACAGCAACCATGGAGTGAGCCACCGGGACTAGGTTGGAGATTGTCTGCAGGACCAACTGCTACCCCTCGACAACTGTGGTAGCTGAAGTGGAGGCTGTGGAGGCCAAACATCTGCAGGGCGCCTGCATCAAAGAGCTAGCACCCTGGCAGATCACGCAGATGCATCCTTTTGAATGGGGTACGGGAATCCCACCACCCCAGGAGTCGGTGGGCGTGGCGACCTTCCAGGAGCCCCAAATCGCATTGGGACAGGCCAAGTGTGCCACAGTCTTTGAGTGGAGAGCAATGAGACCCCACAAGCATAGGAAGTCCAGAGTCTTCAGCCGCCATCTCGAAGCCAATCGCTAGTTGGCCTCCTGGAGAGATTTGGTCAGCTCAGTGTGGGCAGCATCACCCAACTCCCCCCAAGCAGCCAGCCTGGTTGGGTTCTGAGTCAACCAACGTTCACCTTCCCAGGCCAAGGCAGCACGACTGTCCAGAGTGGAGCATCTGCCTCATTCCACTCAGCGCAAAACAGATCGTGCCAAAATCTTGTCAATCTCATGTCAACCCTGAGCTACAAATATTCTCCTTTATTAACATATATAGTCAGTTTAGATATGTGTTGAGAGTGGATAGGTTTAAATCCAAAAGCTATTATAAAGTAGTTAGTTTGTCATTTTGAGATTCTGGCAACTACAGGGAGAGGAAGGTGAATTTTCTAGAGCCCAAACGTGTTGGGTTTATGTATTGGTATGGTATTGGACCTGGGTACTTGAGAGACCGCCTGCTGCCAATTACCTCCTCTAGACCGATTAGATCCCACAGATTA